CAGCGTCTGACGCCTCAAGCAATTCTCTTCCTTAATTCTTTACTTCTTGAATCGCTTCAGCGTCTGACGCCTCAAGCGATTCACTCTCTTTTTCTTTATTTTTCCGAATCGCTTCAGCATTCGTGCCTCAAGCGATTCTCTTTATTTTTCCGAATCGCTTCAGCATTCGTGCCTCAAGCGATTTTCTCTTTTTCTTTATTTTTCTCTGAATTGCTTCAGCATTCGTGCCTCAAGCGATTCTCTCTTTTTCTTTATTTTTCCGAATTGCTTCAGCATTCGTGCCTCAAGCGATTCTCTCTTTCTCTTTTATTTCTCCGAATCGCTTCAGCATTCGTGCCTCAAGCGATTCTCTCTTTATTTCTTTCTCTTTTTCTATTTCATCTCTCTTTCTCTCTCTCTCTCTCTCTCTCACTCTCTTTCCCCCCTTAGATTCTTCTTTCCCTTGCTAACTGCCCATAATGAGAGAAATATTTCATTAGATGGTATGGAACAATAAACATCGTGCGGGACGTAGGAAGCGAAGGAGAGTTGAGGGTTTGCCCCGGCTGGGAACTCCGACCATCCAAAAGATTCAAACAGGAACCTTCCTGGGCAAACCAGCTCGCCGAGAATTAATAAAACCTAACCAACAATTTACGTATCGTAAAAAACAGCAACCACCGACAACGACCAGCTCTATCCCAGTAGTAGATTTGACCGGTGACGAAACTCCTCCTCCATACGAAACAATTTCACACTCTCTCCCTCTTACCCCTATCTCTTATTCCCCCGTCCCTTTCGAAGAAAATATCACTCACAACGCGTTATATCGAGAATTAGAAAAATACCTCGATGTGGACATGTCCCTTTCATCCCCACAACCATCTACACATATCCAGATTTGTACCATTACTGAAACATACACCGTTGCATTAGACTAAGACATAGAAAAACTAAGAAATGTTCAAATATACGAGTACACGTATAATAATTGTAATATATACACACACACACACACACACATATACATATTTAATAAGGATATCCAGATATTATAAGTTTTAAAGGTATTTGCTCTATTTATCTATATATATATATATCCATTTAATAATCGTAAAATATATATATATATATATATATATTTAATAAGAATGCTTAAGGTATTCTATTTCCTTTAGTTATTTTTCTTAAAAATAAAAACAATAGCGATAAATATACATAGTTTATACGAATGTTGAGTTATTCTAATATATGTCTGTGCTTGAATTATAGAAAAATAATAAACTCTTTATTATGTAATTACAGAAAATCGCTGTAGTTCATTAACGAAAATTCACGACTCATTCCTCATCCCATTAGATCGCACGGTCCGATCCCTGATCAGAAGGATTAAGTTCCTTGATCTAAAAAGGGGACCGACGGAGACGCAGTCTCAGATCGGGTAATAGTGTCACACCCTGACATTGACCCACATCTGTGACCTTACGCGTCCCTGACTTGTGGCACGCGATAGCCACGAGAGCGGTGTCGGTTGCGTCCTCCCATGCCCCTTCCTTAACACTTAAATTTTCCCATGAAATAAAGAATCCTGGGCCTTGGACGTAACATAGTCTTTGGAATCAATTTGATGAGATTCAAAGTAGTATAGAACATCTCGAAAATGCCGACTCTTCGGTTAGTGATCAGAAAGCGCTATTTGAGCAGCAGCAAATGCAACGCACGAGTTTCGAATCAGCATATTTTGCGCTCATGTCTAGATGTGAGCAAATACTCGAACAATTTAGCAACTCAGATATACAAACATCGGTTCAAAGTATACCGTCAAGTGATCGTAGAGACACGCGAATTCGTCTTCCGAAAATTGATTTACCAGTGTTCTCTGGTGCATATGAGGACTGGTATTCATATCAAGATACGTTTGAAAAATTAATACATGTTGATCCTAGTCTTACAGATATCGAAAGGTTTCATTATTTAAGATCGTCGTTAAAGGATAAAGCGGCGGAGGTAGTAAAATCCATTGAGACCACGACGGATAATTATCATGAAGCGTGGAATGCAGTAAAAGAGAGATTCGACAATAAGAGATGGATCGTCCAAAAACATATTAAGGCAATATTTGATGCACCCGCTGTTACGAAAGAAAACCATGTGGCTTTGCGGGATTTACTGGATACCATTCTCAAACACGTGAGAGCACTCAGGGCACTCAAGCGGCCAACAAATGAATGGAGCGACCTCCTCATTTACATTATTGTCTCGAAGCTTGATGGAACAACCACCAAGGCATGGGAAACGAGCCGCGTAGATTCTAATATTCCCGAGTTAAAAACATTAGTAGATTTTCTATCAAAACGTTGTTAAGCACTTGAAGCGGTAAATAATCGAGCGAATAATGCGCAATCCAATAGCGTCAGTCAAAAACAAGGTAACAAACATAAAGTTATGTCAGTGGCAAGCGTCGCAACTGTTAATTCGTCTTGTTTTTTCTGTAAAGAAAGCCATCAATTGTATCACTGTGAAAATTTCCTTAAATTATCAATCGATGAACGCATTAAGTTTATAAAGAAATCTCATATCTGTATGAATTGTTTAAGATCGACATCGCACCAAGCGAAAGCATGCAACTCAGGTTCTTGCCGTAAATGTAACAACAAACATAATACTTTGCTACATTTATCTTCAGTAAATAATTCAAATCAATCACAAACTTCGAAACCAGACTCAGGCCAATCTGAGCAGTCTCAGTTACCAGTATCAGCACAATGTGTATCAAGTCACCTCTCTTCAAGTGTTTTACTGTCCACAGCAGTCATTTACATATACGATTCGGCTAAGCAAGCATATCCATGTAGAGTTTTACTTGATAATGGTTTACAGATGAATTTTATTACGCAGGAACTTGTGAATAAGTTGAAAATTGAAGAGAGACCACTTAAAATCACAGCATCATGCGTGATGGAAGAAATAGTGCATGCAAAACACATGGTTAGTGTATGTATAAAATCGCGTTTCAATAATTTTAGTGAGCGTATTGAATGTGTTGTGATCCCAAGAATCACTCAGCCATTACCACAGCAAATAGTACCTAGCCAAAGTGTAATCATTCCAAAGAACATAAAATTGGCAGATCCCAATTTTCGTATGCCAGCAGATATTGATATGTTGGTGGGGGCTGAGCTATTCTTCAGGATACTTTGCGCAGGACAAATTGTACAAGCTAAAAACAAGCCTATTTTACAGAAAACTCAATTCGGTTGGATTGTGTCCGGTCCGACAATGAGTACTAACGCTGATTCAGTGTTGTCAGTTAATCACCATATTACATTATTGGATGACTTAAATTATAAAGTCAGTAGGTTCTGGGAAGTAGAGCATAATATTGCCAAACCTCAATGGTCAGAAGACGAAAGGGCATGCGAACGAACATTTTTGGAAACTGTGAAGCGAACTGAAGAAGGAAGATTTACTGTAACATTGCCAGTCAAGCCTGATCAATTAAGTAAATTGGGAGAATCACGAAAAATAGCCATGCAGCGTTTTGAGTCCCTTGAACGTCGTTTTGCTTCCCAACCGAGGCTACATGAAGAATACAAGAATTTTATAAAAGAATACATTGCATTGGGACACATGCGAGAAGTAACCAATGAGCAGACATCTAGTACAGGCATCTCATCAGTTTATCTACCGCATCATGCAGTGCGAAACGAAGCGAGCACAACAACTAAGCTTAGAGTAGTGTTTGATGGCTCCTGTAAGACTACGACAGGGATTTCCTTAAATGATATCTTGATGGTAGGTCCAACAGTGCAAGATGATCTATTCTCAATTTTAACACGAAATCGTACTTTCAAAATAGCCATGACAGCAGATATACGCAAAATGTATAGACAAATGTTAGTAGATCCCATTCAAACAGCCTTGCAACGCATTGTATGGCGTGATACCAAGGAGGATCCTATAAAGATTTTCGAGCTGATGACGGTAACTTAAGGAACTGCAGCAGCACCTTTCTTGGCGATAAGGTCTTTGAGAAAACTCGCGGAGAATCACATCAATCAATATCCAGTAGCATCTCAGATTACTTTGAAAGATTTTTACGTTTGAAAGATGATTTGGTAACTGGAACAGACTCATTGGAAGAAGCATCATACTTGAAGAATGAGCTGATTCAACTTTTACAGGAAGGCAAATTTGAATTGCAAAAATGGTCCTCTAACGAACCAAGTCTTCGAGACCACTCAAATACGGCAGATCATAAGGAATTCATTTTGAATAGCGACAAGAATACAGAAACAAGGACTTTAGATATTGTTTGGGATTGCACCAATGATTCTTTCAAATTTTCCAGTTTTGGTACGCTTCCACCATTGGAGAAGCCTACTAAAAGAAGCGTTTTGTCACGTAGCTCATTGAGTTTTGACCCCCTTGGGTTACTTGGACCAGTGACAGTAGTAGCCAAAATCATATTGCAGAATTTATGGCGTCTCCAACTGGATTGGGATGAATCTCTTCCATTGGATGTTGCTACAAAGTGGAAGCGTTACGAACGTGAACTACAAGAGATTAGAAGCCTCAAGATCCCTCGTCGGGTTATTGCGGTGGACCAGTACATTCGCCTGGAATTGCATGGGTTCGCAGATGCCAGTGAAACCGCCTATGGGGCATGTATATATGTGAGAGCCACTTCCAGCCAGGACAAACACTCAGTAAAACTACTGTGTTCCAAGTCAAGAGTTGCACCTCTGAAAAACTTATCCTTACCTCGATTGGAATTATGTGCTGCTCTATTATTAGCTCAATTAGTCGACAAAGTATCAAAATGTCTTACATGCAAGATTGACAAGACAGAGTTGTGGACTGATTCCACGATTGTCTTAGTATGGCTTCAAGCATGCAGTCGTACATGGGCCACTTTTGTTGCAAATAGAGTGGGAGAAATCCAACAACTAACTCCCATTCAATATTGGCATCACATTAGAAGTGAATAGAATCCTGCAGATCCTTTGTCACGAGGCGTTATGCATTGGAGTTTGGCCAATTTAGACATCTGGTGGTCAGGACATAGATGGCTTTCGCTCGACAGGGATCAGTGGCCACAAAGCAGTGCATCAATTCAGCCAATCGAGGTACCTGAGAAAAAATCTAAAGGTCTAGTTACTGTGACAACATAAGGTCAGGAATTTGATATATTCCATCGATATTCCACGTTATCCAAACTCATTCGTGTTGTAGCATATATTCTACGTTTTGTAAGAAATACAAGAAAGATCAATGGATCTCTGAAGTCTTCAACAGTTGCGTCAAAAGAAGTAAGTTGCATTATTCCACCAATTACAGTCAATGAGCAACATAATGCAACGTTATTACTTGTAAAGTTAATTCAGAGCACTTACTACGCAAAGGAACTTATTTCATTCAGCAAACAGGGTGTTATAAACAAAAACAGTCCTATCTTAAGGCTAAATCCGTTCATAGATGATGCAGGTGTCTTAAGAGTAGGAGGACGATTAGAGGCATCAAGTCTATCATATGCAGCCAAACATCCTATATTGTTACCCGGTCACCATCCATTTTCACATCTAATAATTAGTCATGAACATGAGAAGAATTTTCATGCTGGTGCTCAAGCCACGTTAGCAGCCACACGTCAAAGATATTGGATGACATCTGCACGAAACATTGTGAGGCAAATTGTCCAACGATGTATAACTTGCTTCAGAAGCGCTCCAAAGCCTGCCTCAACTATTATGGGTAATTTACCCAGCTCGCGTATAACCACGTCTCATCGAGTTTTTGAAAGATGCGGAGTAGATTACGCTGGACCCCTTTATCATAAGGAAGGTATGAGAAAAAACACGAAACTGATAAAGTGTTATATGGCAGTTTTCGTATGCATGGCAACCAAAGCTGTGCACCTTGAGTTGGCAATCGATCTATCATCCAATGCCTTTTTAAATGTATTCAAACGTTTCATTGCCAGAAGAGGATGTCCATCTGAGATCTTTTCTGACAATGGTCTCAATTTCGTCGGAGCAGAAAGAGAATTGAATGAGCTATCAGCTCTGCTCACTGATAAGAAAACACAGCAACAAGTATCAGATCAAGCTTCTAAGCATGGCATACAATGGCACTTTATTCCACCTCGCGCTCCACACCATGGAGGACTCTGGGAAGCTGCGGTCAAGTCGGCAAAGCAACATTTAAGGAAAGTAACAAAGGATGCCCATTTGAGATTCGAAGAACTGGAAACGCTTCTTATACAAATCGAAGCCATCTTGAACTCACGTCCAATAACGCCATTATCTTCTGATCCAAGAGACTTAAGAGTTCTAATTCCTGGTCATTTTATCATAGGATCACCATTGACAGCATATCCAGAAGAATCGATCGATGCTATACAAATGAATCGTCTCTCACGATGGCAACACGTTCAACGATTGAAGCAACACTTTTGGAAACGTTGGACGCGAGAATATTTGCATCAACTCCAACAAAGAAGCAAGTGGAAGACGGAGGAGTCAACCATCAAAATAAGTCAAATGGTGATTTCAATTGAAGACAATCAACCACCATTATCGTGGGTTTTAGGCAGAATACAAGATGTTCATATCGGTGATGATGGAATAGGCCGTGTAGCTACAGTCTATACTACCAAGGGAACTTACAAACGTCCAATTACGCGATTATGCTTGCTTCCCATAGAACTGAATGATCTATAACTACAGTTATTAATTCACATTATAGCAGTAACAACAATGAATCAGAGTTACTAGACATTGTATGTCCTATTAAGTTATTTTACTTTGTATATTGTACGCTAGCAATTTTAGAAGATTATGTTTTATATTGAAAGGTAAGCCTTTCAAGGCCGGCGGCATGTACACGCTTTACTTTAATTTTGATAAGTTTTGAATTCAATCTGTATGGCGCCAATAGTCATGCGTGGTGACACGTCTATGTTATGATTGGTTAGAGCGGTGGCGCTGAGCGTTATGTATGTAGGAGTGGAAAATCTTGTAGTTTGGCTGTGTTCCAAAATTGTTTGCCAGCGCTGGCAGCACTGTCAACGCCGTTCCAAAAACCATCGTAGCACGCTGTGACAGTGCTGCGAGAGAGCAAAGACGTCACTAATTTTGTCGTCACTTCCTGCTGCGACTGCTGCGGTTATCGAGGTGAGGCAGCTACAGCATCAAGATGGCGAGTACCACAGAGGAATTATTACTAATTGATGCGGAAAATAATAGAGAGTTAAAAATAATAGTTTCATCTGAGGACGCTGAAAGAGCAAGAAATGGTAAACATTTATAAAATCTTAGATGTAGGACAGAATACATAACCTCTACATATAAATTTATTATTCACGATAATAATATAAGTTATTAATGCGGTTTAGTAATAAACAATAAAGGAATTAAAAATGAGCACATACCACAACACTGGATAGATTTAGCGAAAATATAATGTAGAATCTTAGAACGAAATTTTTATTATAATTAGTAAACGATTCGGCCTTTAATGTGACCATCATCGATAAACGAAAGAAAAATTAATTTTTAATATATTGCGAAGAATATTACTTAAAAATGGCGTAGTAATATTACGTATTAAATTGACAATAAATTTAATAATATTTAATAATGTTGAATCTAATATCTACTTCGACCAAAAATAAAGTTATTTTTCTATTAATTTATTCTCGGTCTAATAAAAGTTAAAATTATATTATTCTTATTATATTATTATTTACAGATCATATATTTGCGTACTCCTTATTACAACAAGCAATAAAAGACACAAATAAAAACAAAGAGCATATACAAACTAAACAGGTGAAAATTTAAGACTTTAAGGCTTAAATTTTTAATTTGAATATTCTCTATTTGATATATGTATAATGTATATTTTCAAAAATTACAAATCTTAAAGACAATACTTATAACTTTAATATTAAGAAATTAATATTGTTAATATTTTTGAAACAAATAATCTCTTAGGTATAAATATAAATAACACAGATGCATTTTTGAGCAGTAATACTACAAAATGTGATACTGCGAGCTGTAGTACTAATTTAACTACAGATACGAAAGGTAAGCCAAAGCAAACAAATTTGAAGAAAAAAAATACTAACATGGCTATTTTATTTACCTAGATCTACATGTATGGAGTCGTGCTGAAACTTTGCTACTTATTGATATATATAAAGAACACATAGCGATGTTTGACAATCCGAAAGTTTCTTCAAAACAATGTTGGAGTACTCTGTCGAAAAAAATGAAAGAAGCAGGATACCAGATATCTGATACAAAATGTGCAACAAAATTCCAATCTTTAAAAAGGAGTTATAAATCTGTTATTGATCATAATAAACAATCAGGAAACAACAGACAAAAATGGGAATATTACGAAGTATGATATTATAATTTTACATAAAAGTATATATGATATTAAAATTATATATAATAAATGTATTAGAATTATATAAAAGCATTGCAATTTATGCAATTTAATTATTATCTAGGTTTAATGTATAGACATATTATTTTATATAATGACAAATCACAATTAGTCAAAAATTACAATATATATAAAGTTACAGTGCATATATACATATATACATATATATATACCTTTCTTTTGTTTTTAAAAGTAATCGTTTAATAATTATTGATTAAATATTATAAAAAATAAGAAATAATTTTTTTTATTTAGATCATGCATGAAATATTTAGTACGAAGCCATGGATTAAACCAGTAGCAGTAGCTGGTAGTGATATTAATATTACAGACAATGAAAACATAGAAAATGTTGATCCACGAAAATCTGGTATTTCATAACATATCGTAGTTACTAAACATTCTATTATATTATATGTGTGATTTACTTTTTATGTTAATTAGAATCTATAAAGAAAGTTACATAAAATATTTGTACTTAGTAGATTTTTTTTAGAAATATTTTGTAGTATGTATACAATTGTCATTTAACTATTTCTAATTATTTATCTAATTACTTCCTTTAATTATCTTCTTTAATTGCAGTATCAAGAAAACGGAAAATAAATAGCATATTAGAGGACTATTTAGAAAGATCTTTAGAAATTAAAAAAGAAAAAGAAAACAATGCTCAAAAGAGGCATGCAGAAAAAATGGCACGACTTGATAAAATGGAAGCAGTAATGACAGAGATGTTTAAAAAATAAATTTCAGAACGAGAGTTTTAAGATAAATGTATATTTTTATCAATGTGTAGTTGTATATCAACTTCAATCTCTGGTTAATTTATTCTTTATTTTTTTAATTTTTAAGAACAGAATAAGAGGTAAAAAATTAAATATAGATGAAAGTTAATTATCTTATTAATTATCTTAAATTTATCTAAAATTAGTTATCTGCATTGCATTGGTAGAAATGAATATAAGAAAAAAAATTAAGATGAGAATTTTGTTTTTTATCCAAAGAAACATTGTGATTAACGTTGTGATACGGTTTAATAAGTTTACTAAACTCAAGTTAAGTAATACATTAAGTAATGAGTAGTTAGATAAGGTTTAATAAAGATAAAAAATAAAATTAATATAGTTTTTCTGTAACTAGAGTGCAAATTTATTAAAAGATTACTGTTATGTATTACAAGTTTGTTATAAATAAAATTATTTACGAATATATCTTTTTAACAATTTTTTCACAATCTTGATAGCTTAACTTTTATATTATTGTAAATTGTAAGGAAACAACTATATATATATATATATAGTAAAAAAATAAAAATAAAAAGTAAAAAAAGTAAAAAATAAAGTAAAAAATTTTTACATCACACACTTATACATAATTATACTTGTGGCTTTATTAAAAATTCCCGTTCTGTAAATAATGCACAATTCCATTTCGTTTTTCAATACCTTCCTCTCGTAAAGCTTGAGGTATTGCATCATTTCCGAAATTTCTTTCGAGTTCATTCAGTTGCACAATAATTGGTACATCGATGAAATCATTACGTATCAAGCAAATATTATGCAGAATGCAGCAAGCAACAATATATTTCGGTATCAGATCTGTTCTTCTCATAGGTAATATATCTAGAAGACTCCGAAATCTTGCTTTCAATAAACCTATTGTTCTTTCTATCATCATTCTAACTTGAGACAAACGAGTATTATACGCAATTTGTGCATCTGTTAAGTGTCCATTGTTTTTAAATGGAACCATTACATATTTGTGAATACTATATGCGGCATCACCTAATATGTGACTATTTTCTGGAAAATTTTGTGAAGTACATAAGTTTTCGAAACCTGAAAGTCGAAATACTCTCATATCATGTACTGAGCCTGCTTGTCCTGCATAAACATGCGTAATCTTTAACTCATGATCACATATTAACTGAAAATGAAAAATAATTATTACTTTATTTTTAAGTCAACAACCAGTCACAGAGACCATTGCCTTGAGTTTTTCAATTAAACGGTCAATGTGAATGATTGTCTTAAGTTGCAACGTAGTCAAACAAGTCCCACTCAATATATTTAAAATATTAACAGTTTGAAAAATACCTGTACTTGTATAGAGTGATAACCTTTTCTATTTATGTAGGCATCAGCATGTAATTTTGGTGCTGCGATTTTGACATGGGTACCATCTATTGCTACTATTACTTTGGGAAATTTGTATTTGTTTTTAATATATGTTGAAATTTCGTCAGCTCTTTCTGCATCTGGCCATTTGATAAAAGCGTTAAGATGTGAATAGAGTGCATGAACAACTTTCTGAACACTTCTCCAAGCTGTTCCTTTACCCACCCCAAATCGGTCAGCAACACACCTTCATATTTAGAAAAATAAATGTGTGAAATGTTAAATATTAACAAATAGAAAATAAAGATCTTAAATAGTCAATAATAAACTAGAAGAAGAAGCCTTTAACGGTCGAAGCTAGATCAAAGTGCTTATAATAAATGTGTGAATTTTTAAATACTGCGTATGTAGTCCCCCTCGCGACGCTGATAGATTTTCAGCTTTGACGCATACATATTCACTACTGCAGTAATATCACTAAGTTAAATTGACGAGCAATCTAACAATTTGATGCTGATAGCATCTTATGGATCTTAATACTATGTTGAAAGACATATATTAAAATTTAACGATTTTATTGTTAATTCAATGTAAATTCACACATTTATTATAAGCACATTTATTATAAACACATTTATTATAAAAATTCACACATTTATTATAAGCACTTTGATCTAGCTTCGACCGTTAAAGGCTTCTTCTTCTAGTTTATTATTGTTTATCAATTACGGTCTTAGAAATATTTAATATTTGTTAAATAGTCAAGTTGTATCTTCATTATAGTATTAAATTGCTGGTCAACTTAATTTGTAATATTACTGTAGTTGTGTAAGGATTGTGTTTCAAGAATGAAAATTAAATTCAGTACGCTCAATCATTCAATCCAGCTCATTTAGAATCTTTATTTTCCATATTGTTGTATATTCACATTATGGTCGTAAAAAATTCTTTGTTTAATATTGTTAAATATTAACATTTCTTATTCCTCTTAGCAAAAAATGATTTATCAGTTGATGTTAATCAAATGTCTATTGATATTGAATCAACATCGATTTGACGCTGAGCGATGATGAAACAGCATCGATTTGACACTGATCAATCATTTTTTCTGGGACTTACTTAAGTCCTAACTTTAACCAATAACTCACCTGTATGAATTAGGAGTTGCCATCATCCATATTGCCAACAATAAGGTTTTCTCGGATGATATAGTATATCTACCACATCCCTCAGACTGTTTTGATAATTGTGGACTTAATAGTTCTAATAAAAATATAAATGTTTGTCTACTGAGGCTATAAAAAGAAACATTAAAACATATTTTTTTCTGTATTTAAATTGTATGTGCATTTAAATCTGTTCAATATTTTCCAACATTTATGCAAGATCAATTCATGAGTTGTATATATGCAAGTTTCATTATTTAGCTTATTATATATAATAAGAATTTAATTATTAATAATTATATAAGTAAATAGATAAATGATTCACTATTCTACAAATAACTTACCGAAAATGACTTTTAAAATCATTGTCAGTATACTGCCAAACTACATTTTCAATGTAATTCTGGCAATGTACTTTGGGTATTCGTTCATAATAATCATTTATTATATTTACTATTTCTGCCGAATCTGATTCATCGCTAGATTCCTCATCAGATTCTTCAAGCGTTACTCTTAAACACATTCCAAATAAAATCTTTTGTTGCTCGTGTCTATCCATTTCAAGGTTAATGTTTCACATTCAGTGACAATACTCTTTTATGAGTGCTGAAAATATCGTTCCAATTTGAAATGCGTATTCACACCAATAGCATGCTTACTAAAATTGGAACGCTATTGGTAGCATGCACTTATGACGACATACACGCAGCACTGGCAATCAATTTTGGAATACAGCCT